AAATAAACAAACAATAAAAGTTATACTGTGTGGGACTGACATACGCTTGGCCCTGACTTCAGTGTCTTTTGGCTCCTGGTTTCAGATACCTACTTCTTAAAACAATTCCATTATGAGGCTTTTCAGATGTGCCTGCATTTGTTTTATGGCACAGAATAAACTGGAAAATGCATAAGTGCACTTGCAGGAATTTTGCAATGTATTTCTGCTTCTGGAACTTTGGTGTATTTTTTTAAGCATTTGGAAACATTATCTGTAAATAATCTAACGTGCCGTTAGTACAGATTATACAGATGGTAAGAGCAATGGCTCACAGATCATGGGTTCTGAATTTCGGGAATACAATCTGGTGATTTGGAGGGCACAAAGAGGAAGCAGGAAATGTGAAACAACTCGCCAAGCTTGGTCTGGGTTTTGGGGGATGAACAGTCTTTTCCTTTTCCTTTGGTGTTTTGTTTTATATTTATGTAACAGCAACACATTTCCATCATTGTTTTTAGCTTTGAAATTTTGAAAGCATCTAAACTGAATAAAAATATTAAATGGGGACTTGAAGTATTTGAAGTGGATCTTTTGTGTTGATATTTATTCTCTCTTAAAGTATACTAAAGTCTTGAGGACAAATCATTTTTGGGTGTGCTAAAATTTGTTTACTCCTCTCTTGATCATTCAACAAATGAATGTCCATAAGCCATGTGTAGAGAAATGTGTTATGAAGGAAATTGATTTTTGAAATTCATTTAATGTTTCTGTGTCATTCTAGTTAGTTTATTAATGTTTTGCATCATTGTGATTAGGAACAAGTAAAGGTTTATTCCGTGCTGAAAAGAGAAGAAAAGAAACGCAACATTTCGGCTATGGAGCCTTCTTCGGGTGTCAATCATTGTGATTAGTTTATTTTTTTTTTTCATTTTGAGAATCAAGGATTAAACACCACAAAAATGGATCAATCAGCCCAGCCTTTTTTTTTAAAAAAAAGCCTTTGTCTCATTACCGTTTTGGGTCCTGGGCAAAGCTTGCAGAGTAATACATTTATTGTTGTGTACAACAGCTCAATCAATGAGGAGGTCTAAATGTCAGTGTCTAGGTGTTGCAGAAGTGGTTGTAGTGATTGATGGCAATCTAATAGCATGGTGCTACATTGACCAAGTCTCTCCTTTCTACCTTTCCTCTTGGGTAAGCCTGACTAAGCAACATTGCAGAAGTGCAGCACGTATCCACAAGATGGTTGTGTTCTGAAGGACTTTATTGGGACAGTTATGCCATGTAGAAGGCCTTCTTGCCAGACCTGACCCCCATTAAACCATTGTGAGATGTTTGGAAACTAGGACTCAGAGTCTGAGAACAAGCACAAGCTTGTCCAGGGTCTGCAGGAGAAATGTGGCAAAGGTCCGCAAGAGGGCCTTGGCAGCTTGGTGCAATCTTGGTATGGCAGATGTACAGCTTGTATTGCTTCCAGCAGTGGCCACACAAGATTCTTGCCGGCAGCTTTTATGGTAGACATCGAGGTCGGGTCATGAGTCCTGTTGATGACAAAATGTTCATGAGCCCAATGAATTTCCCTAAACTACGTTTGTTCAGTAAAAAAATCAGAGCACATGCTACATGCTTCCTTTTCTACAATTGGTTAAGCACTGTGACTGGTAGATTGGGATTATTTGGCAAGGGCACCTCATGACACACAGGCCACCACAACGTCCTGGGTGCCTATAGGCATGTGGTGATGTTGGTGAAGGACTTTGCTGTGCTGAACCTATGTTTCCTGTGATGGGTTTAAAAGATCTAGAACATGGGCAGGTCTGAAGAGTCTGCCTACACTTTCTCATTCTATCTTGTGTGTGTTTGCAGTGTTCATATCCATGAGTTAGGACAGGAAAAACACAGATGGTCATGTGCAGATGAAAATATAAAATACTAAATATAAAGTTAATATTTAATATAATTAAAATAGAGTTAATATAAAAGAATAGTAGAATATTGGTGGTTCATGGTCATATTCCTCCAGTGCATATACTTCCTGTCTGCAGTACCGAACTTTCCCACATAATAAGGAGTTATGTCTTTAGAAGCTTCAAGCTGTTAAGAAAAAAGAAGGCTCATTGGCATTTCACCACTGAAAACAAGTCTCAGAAAAGTCCTGTGTGAGTGTTTGTGTGCAGATGTTCTGTTGAAACCTATGACTCAAGCTCCTGCTCACTTCGAGCTAAAGCAGTGGCTTGTGTGTTTGCGCGTCACGTAGGAGAATCTGCAGCCAGCATGTCAGATGGGATTGATTTAAACCTGGAATACTGCCAGTCTGCACTGTTTCTTACAGTTGTTCTCAGTTGTTTCTGTGATTAACTAAAATGGGAAATTAAGTTTTGATGTACAGACTAATAATAATGGTCACTCGGTCAGACACTGTCAAATTCTGCTTTTTATTTGTGTGGTTAAACCTCCTGCACTGATCCATGACTATTACTAAACATTTAATGTGTTTCTTTTACCATGCATTGGGTTTCTCTGTCCCCGAGATACAGGCTTTTTGGTTTGTACTCTATACTGAGGGAGATAACTGACATCAAAATGTTAATTTCACTAACCGTGCTAATGCCAAGCGATGAGGCAACAGAAAACACACAGCTGTGACAGGAAAAGAAACAATGCAGTCATGTGTCAGGATACCAAGGTTTGCATGGCCATGTAATAGGAAGTGAGCTGAAAATATGCCTTACAAAACTATCTTGAGAAAATAAGATTGATGAAAGGTTAATGTGAGTAAATGTTAACCCAATGCTGGTATAATCCTTTTATGAATGGAATATCAAATTACTATATGACTTATGAAAGTAAAACCTATGGCCCTGGGTGTAAGGCATTGACAAAAAAAACTCAGCTGTGCTCCCATGGTTGTATGTGGATGATAAATTCCAAATTCTGACATACAAAATTCTCACAGTTTTTACAAACATCTACACTAAAATGTCAGTGATTTGTAATATAGTGCGCCATCATTCCTCCATTCATCTTGAAGTTTGAGGCAGGAAAAGGAAGTTAGTCAAGACTCATAAGTCTAACGCCCTTGACTTGCACCCACCTGTCCTATCAGAGCTGTCAACATCCTCTACTTTATGGGTGCTGTTCCTGTTGTAAAGGTGGCAGCACTTTAACATAATCATTTATTAATTACAAGATATCAACCCAACAGAGATCTTGATGCACTTATTTTTAATGATGGAAGAATTTTCATGTTGTACCATTCTGTTATCAGTCTGGGCCAAAATGCAGCTCCATAAAAATGGTTGTTTATCTTCATTGCCATACTTCTGGATGCTTTGATGACGATTTTATGACCTTCTTTCTACAATTTCCCATTTGGCAAGATGTTGGAAAATCTTGTCCTAGCTAGTTTTAAGATTGTATTCTTCCCCATTCAATAAGATGTGATCTGCCAGTCACAACTATAACAACTTCCATCCCTTCAAAATGGTCACCTTAGTAGCTGAAAAAAAATCTTAAACAGGTGTGTTTAACTGATGGAAGTTGGTACAGGCATATAAGGATTGCGCCTTATTAAATGAGGGAATAGTCTTAAAATTATTTGAACAATGTTGACAAGATATGAACTCAATTCTGTTTTTAGGCACATGTGTGTTGTAAAAACTTGCAAAATCTTCTGAACGCCTTGCCTTTAGGTCCCAGACACCTTTCAGCTTATGTTTGACAAGGAGATCTGTAGTGACCATCTGTGTCCCCATCATTCCCTAGGTATCAGTTTCAAGGTGATGGACAGAGTCTCGCAAAACGTCTGTCCCCCCAATCTGTCCAGATGATCGGTTATTATGTCTTCATTAATGTTAGAGCTCATATTTCAGCCAGTGGATACGTTTTTGGGAAGGTCCAGCTTTCTAACAGTATTGTGTTTGTAAAAATAACGTGGCCAAGGTGATAGTGTAGCATTTTCCAGATGGCTTTTAGGAATGTACCAGGCTTTGATCTCCATTATAACACCCCCACCCCAACAAAAAAACTGCAAAGAAGACAAAGGGAGGGGATTTTAGAAGACTGGTGAAATCAGATGATCAAATGATTAAATACCGACTTTACTCAAATTAGTTACTGGTGTCTGAAACCTGATCTTTTTAAATTGGAATATCCTTCAGTAGAAGGATTCAGACCTATTATAAAGTTTTAAACTTTTTCAGTACAGGAATAACATATGATCAAAGTAAGTTGTATAATATCCTTTTTTATTGTGTTCAACTACAGTCTCTAGGATGAAGGAATTTAACAAGTGAATGAATATACATAGAGTATTTGTTTGCTGTCACATGATGCTGATGTTATAATTTTAAAATATTCCCTGAAAATTTGTACACTTAAATGGTCTATCCAATCCTGTAGTATTTTGAATGCAATTTTATTACCATAAGATTTTATTTTTCCATTTTCTTTATTTCATCATTTGATGTCAAATCTATTTGCAGTTACTTTATCCTAAGATCTGTCTTTATAGGAGAATTTGGGAATAAAACAAATTATTATAATTTTTTTTCTACTGTATTGTAGAGGTTTTTTTTTATAATGCCACTTCTGTATTTTGCCAATCAAAACTGTCAACATTCCCATTCCTGGAAAGGAAAACTCCTGTCCCACTTAACTCAACCTGATGTCTTCTGGAGATCTTTTGTGTAATAGCTGTGAAGCTTCCTTTAGCTCTTTTAATCTTTGGCATTGCAAATTTACCTCTGAAATAGTAAAAAAGTAACAGAACAATACTCAGAGCAGGTCACTTGGAGGTGAATCCTGTTAAACCGTGTGTACTCTCATGACTTCTGTTAGAAATCAGTTCGTTGAGTTAATCTGTCAGTTGGTTCTGTAAGATTTGAGTACACCTTGTGTGATTATGGCTGTAGAAACATGAGGTGTTACTTGAACATTTTACTTTTTTATGTTTCAGTCACAGGAACTGCTTTAAACGGCTAACTGTGATGTTTTTCTTTGTCTCTTTTCTCTGGCAGGTGTACCTCATCAATGTCACATACTCCGATTCCACCTCCCAGATAATCTACAGGAGATACAGTAAATTCTTCGACCTGCAGGTAAAGAAAAACCTTGGCAGCATTTCAAAATCCCGCAAACAGTTCAGATCTACAGTTCTCCCACAACACATCACATGTTAGTCTGCTTTTTATAGAACTGTACATGCTCAGCCTTTGTTCTTCAATTTATCAGCTGGCAAAATTGAAATTCTAATCGGCAAATCTACAAAATCCGTCTATTTCTTGGTCTTTGAAATTTGAGTAAATATGGTATCGTTTTCCCTTGTCGAAACCAATCATCTTATATGTTTCTTTTCTCAGTTGTGCATTTTTTTTGCAGAAATACTGGCAGGCAGAATGGCAGAAACTTCACTGGACCCACCTATAAATCAGTTTCATGTGGCTTCTGAATTGGGTATCAGATATAATGGAATCACAGTAACTGCTTTCAGATATTGACCACTTTGTGTCAGTTGTCTCTTTCAAAATGGTTCCTGATCATTTTTTGTGTTGAGTCTGGAGTATAAACACATTTTTTTTTCTTTTTGGTGGGAATTAGTGTGCAGGTATGGGTTTGCGTGTGTTTAGGGTCTCCTGGTCTTTCTGGTAAACGTGAACAGCCTGCAGAGGAGAAGTGAATATCAATGGGGTCAGTGTGCTCCACAGGAAATTATGTTTCAATCAGGGAAGGCCAATTCTGAAAGGTCCCATTGAGAATCTGAGGGGCCTGACTGGAATGGAAAAGCCCCACTTGTTCACTTACTACTCCTAGAGAGGTATAAGGCAAGGTGAAAATAATTGAACATAAGAAACCATCATCTTATATGTGTCCTTATTTCATTTTGTCTCCTAGCTTGGTAAAGGTCTTGCTATACTGCTATACAATTACTGCTTATACAACCATGCTTTTTGGTTCTTTCTTATTTCAGTGGTGTCTTGTGTGGTTGTCCTATTTTGTCTTGAATTTAAAGCTTGCTAGTTCTACTAGATAAGTTGTTATTGTTTTTACAACTTGATGGCTTATGTGTTAAGGTTAAGAATATGTTTCAAAAGTAGTTTACTATACGGATTCTTGCCCCTTCTTTAAACAAAATGCCATGTTATATCTCTGATGAATTTTAAAAGTTTTAAAACTGTAATTATAAGCTTCTGAGTCGGTTAATGGCACTGAATATCAATGGTAATTAAATCAGGTTTTTAAAGTACCCAAGACTAGTGGTTGCAGATAGGTATTTCTCCACCATGGAGTTTAGTGCTTTTAGCCTTTAATGAGTGGAGGTTGGATTTCCATCCCATGTTCCCTTTATCTGTTAAGGAGAAGAGGAATGGTACTGTAAGTACTTAATGAGGCATTCAGGGTTGTTTTATGGCTGTGTGGAGGCATTTGCAGGAAACATCCTTTTTCCATTTCCATTTCCATTCCATTTTATTTGATGGAACTGGAGCAGCACTTTTGTAAACGCATTGTAGTGCAAAGAGTTCCTGCTGGTGGCTGAGTCACTACTTTGTAAGAAATAGAAGTTGCAACACTGTCTCATTTCATTGCAGTCCCTGTTATTAGGTAGATTCATTGAGCTGTGGAAAAAACATGCCCAAGTTTAATATGTGCCTGCACACAACCAAGATTTATAATTCAGGATATCCCGGCTCGTGTGTCATTTGCACTGAACCAGAGATTAGGGGTTGTGACAAAAATATCCCTGGTCAGACATGATTTGTTTCTTCAAAACTTCAAAGGAATTGTCAAAGATACAGGTTAATTTGAAGGCAGTACCCATGATTCCAAAGTGTAATTGAACTAGTGATGTGCATTATTTATTAATATATTAACACAGATTCGTAAGTAGTGTATATTTGTATTTTTTCTAAGTTATAACTTAAAAGAAATCTTTAACCTTTTGCCTTAGAACTTTTCTCTTAAAAATGTCTGGATGGGGCTTTCCTGCACCATTTCATTGGACCTGTAGGACTGTACTTGATTTACTCTCCCCTAATTAATTTGTTTAAATAACACCATTTCAATCCAAATTAGAAATTGTTTAAGTACCGGAAATGATAAACCTCAGCATTCTTCATATGCTTCTAATTATATTCATCGAGCACTTTGGTAGATAACTTTTCACTTGGAGAATCATTTTGCAGTAGACCTGTAATCGTTTGCCATTATATTTCCAGATTAATAATTTACTTGTTACCAACAAAATCCTCCTGATGCTTTGTGTAACTGAAAATGAGTGAGCACATACAGGACATAGCCATAGTCTCCACAAACCAGTATGATCATAGTGCAAGGAATTTGTGATCTGCGAGTAACAGAGATTTTGTATTTTACCGTGGAAGACCTAAGTGTTGGTTTTGGCCACAAGATATTTGTTGTGAAAATATGTGCATTTGGAGAAATGGATTGAAGAAAAGTCACCTTTTGGGAGAAGCTTTGTTAAGGTTCTGTTCTTTTTTATGTGGTTTTAATTGAGTCAGTATGGAAAAACTGGAAAAGATCTAATAACGTTGACCACACTTCGTAAGATTCATAAGAGAATATCATGGCACTCCTTTTAACATCCTTTTTCATTTTAAAAAAAGACAACGAGTGAGCTTCTGAGATATCAGATTGTTATTTCAAGAAAGGGAGATTAAGCCCTTTAAGTCTGTAATTATTTCCCCCCACTTTTTTTAGACAATGCATGTTAAATATATTCTGGAAAAAAACATTTTTCAAAAAAATGCTAATGGTGGACTACTTTTTTGTAGAAATAACTGGTTTAGGACTGTTTCTTGCCCTTTCTCCAACCCCCAATCCAGTGAAGATCTTTGCTCGGGGTTGTTGTAGGTTGAAATTAACTCCCCTCCCCCTGCACCTCCCCCCACCTCACACCTCACCCCTGACAAGTGTTTTGATTGAGGCTTCTGGAAATCCCTTCTCCTGAACAAAGCAGATTAATACCATCTCTGGTGTGCTCAATCAAGCAAGCCCCTGGATTCAGAAAGTAGAAACTGAGAGAGGTTGATCAGCTTGGAAAATTAAGCTGCTCCAGTTGCGGTATAGGAAAAGTGCACTGGAGTGCATGTAGGTTGCTGATGTTGGGGGGGGGGACCTTGTCTCTCTATTTTTGTTTGAGAGCTTTAATAATACATCAGCCTCCTTTTTAAATATCCCATGAATGGGTTCTGTGCCGAGGAAGACAGTGAAGAATGTGTTGTGGATTTATTTGTGCCATTTGACCCTTTTTTAAATTGAATTCATCAAAACGTATTTTCTATTGCAAAATTTTGAAAGGTGTTTATTTTATTCTTTCATCTGAAGATCTCAAAATATTTAGAATTTGTCATTCTATTTTTAAGGCTGACGGTGCCGTCAAATGTGTTTTATCCTCCACATAGTCAATTACAAGGATGAATGGTCTGTCATTTGATAATGCCTAGTCTTTTAACACAGGAAATTCTGAGATCACCAGCCTATTGCCAGGTAACTGAGAAAACACCAGTGAGTTGGAACATTTGGCCACAGGCCTAGATACAAAGATACCGATCTTTAATTATAGACTCACATTTTTTAAGGAGTTTTTATGGAATCTATGATTCTAGTCACCAGGAGTGGAACAAAATATATATTGTTAAAGCACCGTGCGTAAAAACCTAAAGTGGTAAAGGAATGACTCAAGTTTATATGGTGTCCATGCCTATATGACTCTCATTGACATCATAGTAGGAGCTAGCTGTTACAGTTTTTTTCTCATTTGTTCTGGCTCTTTTTATAGTCAATAAGAAATGTTTCAGAGTAAGACCTGAGTAAACTTTTGAATTCAGAGCTGCATCACCAAGCAAGTTGCTTAGGAACATGCAGAGGGTGATTGCTTGCCAAAAAGTAAAAATTAAGAAAAAATACACTTTTGCTGTGTCACACCTGAAGGGAATTTTGCATACCTAAATAGCTATTTTCTCATATGTTGAAATTTATATTTTTATGTGGACTTTTGTTAGGTAGTAGTTATCCGCTTTATTGCTTGTTGTTGATGTTAAAAATCAAGTGACACAACCGGATATTTTCGTGCAGATAACACATATTGTTAGATGTTGAAATGCTCTGTTTATCTCTTTGTTGTTGACATGACAGCTGTTGTGATGAGTTGAGTTAATTTTAAATAATCAATTCCAGAAAATGAGGGTGTGTAAAGTAAAATGACTCTCGTTTGCTTGCCATTAGGTAACTGATTAAACATCTTATTCAGTTATAAAAACATAGCTAGGTAGCTAGTTCCATACTCCCACAGCCCTTTGTATTAGGTGCCTCCTGTTTTCCTTTATAATTTAACTTCGTGGTAGTTTCCAAATATAATTTATGTTTTATGGTGATTTTGAAGAAGTTAATTGCTTGACTATATCAAGATTTTGAATACTTGTATTAGGTCTCGTAATCTTATCTTTTCAAGACCTGGACATTCCTTTGAACTCTGGAATGAATCTGGTGGATCTTCTATACACTGATTCCAGAGTAGAAAGTAATATCTTTTTGGTAATATGTTGACCACAATTGTATACAATACTCTAGTGTTACGATTGCATTGTACAACTTTAACTTAACATTCTTTCATTTAAAGTCTATATATCCCAACATTTTGTTTTTCTATCCAAGATTAAAACGTCATTATTTACATAGAAAACATTTTTTTTTCTACATGGCCTCTTTAGGCGCTTCATTTCTCATTATATATTTATAGTGTTTCTGCCTCCTGAATGTAACACACTGCAATTGTCCACATTAAATGTCATCTGTCAAATTTTTGACTACTCTTTTCTTATCATTGTAAGATGTTATTTCTATTTCATAATCTAAATGTTGCTCATTATTATCTGTAATACACTTAGCTTCATCCTTTTTTGGGGGTATTGTAATGGTTTCAGAGACATTTACTTAGCACAATGTCTAATTAAAAACAGATGTTCACCCCACTTGCATGCAGTAGGTAAATTTACTTTTTTTCTGATGTATTCCTGTTGCAATTATTTTCACAACAGGTTTAGTGGCATCTAGACAAGATTTAGTTCCATCCATCAGAACT